GACAAGAAAGTGCTGGTTTTGAAGAGGGAATGCATCATGCAGGGGAATGACTGCAGCGAGAGCTCTCAGTGGGCAAGAGGTGGGTGGAGTCTAGTGAAAGGGGAGCTGTGGTTCTGTCTTGGGCATACAGAGAGTTCATCTATGGCAACGGGAAGAATGAGACAGAGTGTGGCATCAGTCTAGGGAAGTTCATAGACAGATACAGCTTGGGGAGCAAATGGACTTCCCAGCCCCCACCCTCTGTGCATGCTTGTCTGTGGAGGCCAGAGGTCAATGTGTGTCTCTGAATTTTTCTCTTCCTTACAGTTTGAGACAGAGCTTTTCTAGCTCGAGGTTTTCAATCTGTAGGTTGCAACCCCTTATGGTTGCTTAAGACCATTGGAAATATCAGATATTTATGTTATGATTCATAGCAGTAGCAGAATTACCATTATGAAGTGACAACAAAAATGTTATGGTTGGGGCACCACAACATGAGGAACTGTATTCAAGGGTCACCGAATTGGGAAGGTTGAGAACCGCTGCCCTAGCTGAATCTGGAGCTCACTGATTCAGCTGGACAGAGTTGATCAGCAAGCCTTGGGGATCCTCCCTTGCCCGGTGCCCATGCCAGAGGAGCAGTAGGTGGTGATTGACTTCAGGAGTTTGGCCCACCAGAATGCAAGGCACTGATGGGTGAATCTCAGAAAGGCAAGGCCCCAGGGGCTTCAGCTCCAGAATGTCCCTTGTTACTGCTTTGCCTTCACATTTTTGCTGCTACCATTTTTCTCTGGTATCTGGCATGGTGTGAATGGGCTTTTGGGGGCATCCCCACTGCCTTTAATGTAGTATGATTATCTCATGGAAATATCCCAATCTCCTGGGCATTTCTGCCTGCATATTGTTATGAAGATGATTTCCTCTTAAGCTGTACTGTTTAAGTGAAGCAAGGATTTTATACAATAGTAGTGTTAGTTTAAATAGGATTTTGGTGATTGAGGATATTTAATATAGTAAGGGATTTCTCTTGAGGAGCCATATCGACTGTGGCTTAGATTAATGCTTAAGAACAATAGTTATATACCAGAAACTAGGCTAGCTCAAATTCTCTTAATCTTAATGTTGGGAGATGTGTTCACAAGTTTCAGTGTGCATCATAGCCAAAACAAATCTTCAAATAATGACTTAAATTAGGTTAAGGTGTTTTTTTGTTAATGGCTTTGAGGTAGAAAATCTTGGGAACAATTTAAAGTTGAGAAAGGCACATAGTTGAGTGAGGGACTCTTTGGGGTCAAGAAACAAGACAGCCTGGTTTTTATTAGCTGACATGCCTTTCCTTCTAGGATGGGTTGGTGATCAAGGGTGATGATTAATTCCTTGTACCCATTTCTGCCCTCAGCCTCCTGATATAAAAATCTGCTGATGAGTGGTTATGCACCTTCAGGATTTAAAGTAGAGCTGACTGATAGTTTTTCATATATAAAAGTTCAGATTTGTGGTTCTTTTAAGATTTTTTATAAGATTATCTTTTAAGATAAATTAATGTAATGAAGTGATTGATCCTTTCCTTATAACCACAAAATGCAACCTGCAAAAAACTATTTGAGAAAAATACCTTGCTTGCTTGCACTCTGTTAATCTATAACAAATTGCTTGAACATGAAAGTATATAGGTTCTTGGGTATAATTTGTTTTTCACTTGTAATATGTAAAATGTTTAATCATGTAAGGGATATGGAAAACATGTTCTTTTTTAGCAGCATTCAGTGTAATCATTCACTTTAAAATAGGATGTAACCACATTGTAATTTTTATATTGTTTGAAAGATTTTGTTGGAATACATAAGCTGTAAGGAAAAAAATAAGAATAGACAGATGTGATACACCTGGATAGAGGTAAGAAAAGGAAGGGATGAGAGAGAGACAGAGAGAGAGAGAGAGAGTGAGAGAGAGAGAGAGAGGATAGAAAGACCCTGAAGGGAGGAGTGTGTGTGTGTGTGTGTGTGTGTGTGTGTGTGTGTTTTCCCCTTTTCTGCTGGCCCCAGAGAGTTAATTTTGCCCACATGCCAGCCCCAGAGAGTTAAGTTTTATTCCCTCAGATAGAAAATTCAAATTGAGTGGTTAGCCTGCTTACTTTGTAGCTTCCCCCTCAATCCCTGAGCTGCTGAAGGCTGGTCTTCATAGTGGCACTCCTCTCCCCACCTTCCCAGTGCTGAGATTATAGGCATTCACTGTTGCACTCAGATTTTTGTTGTTGTTGTTGACAAAGAAAGAGATGAATTAGTCAGTTAGGAGGTTTGGAAATAAAGAATGCATAAGCATGACTGCTCAGACCTGTACTCCTTGCACTGGGTTGCCATTTGAGGACAGACAGGGCTTTATAGCAAAACTGTGTCTCAAACATTCAAAATAAATAAGTTGATAATGAAGTTTAAAAGAAGATGATTGCTAGGCAGAAATAATATTTAATATTAATGTCAGTAACTGAAAGTGAGATTATTGGCTAAAAGGTTTTGTTTATTTTCCCTCTTGCAGGGTGTAGGTACAGAATAGGGAAAGTATTGGACTTAACATGAACTGTGTACTAGCCCATTAGGCATGGCAACAATTGTAAATATTGGCCATGTAACCCAAACTTGATTAGGAGAGAAGCAAAGATCAGAATGCAGTGAAAAGCTTCATAAAGTTGTAGTCCCAGAGCTTGGATCATTCCCACAGCAGTTAGTAGTAAAGGCCGTGTTGGAGTAGAGAAGGCTAAGAACTGACAGTGAGGATTTTGAAGGAGTCATTCATATGGACAATAAACTCACCAACACAGTAGAGTTGGTGAGAGTGACAGGGTGGGGTAAGGAGGCTGATCCTGGCTGCAGAGGCTCATGCAACAGGGTGATGGTAGTGTGTGGAGTAATCAGAAGTGAAATTCGAGTTCTGAGGGATTCAGTGGGGAGGGGAAGATAACTGTCTGGAAATAGCAAAAGAGAACACAATGCATGACAAAGAGGGAATCGTCAGAGAAGCTCTTTGAGAAATTTGCTGAGCTAAAGGACTTGAGCTTCTAAGCTGAAGTCATTACAGAGCCACACCCAGGATATTAGGGTGAAAACTATTCTGAAATTTTCTGGGGTGGGGTGAGTGCAATTAAAGGTCTGTGATGGTTAATTTTCATGCTCAGTGTGACTGCATTTTGGATCCCCTGGAAGACACACCTTTGGGTACATCTGTGAGGGTCTTTCCAGAGAGATTTAGTATGAGAGGAAAGACCAACTCTAAACACGGGACCTCCATTCCATGGGCCAGGGTCCTGGGCTGAAGGCAAAGGGAACAGGAGAAAGCAAGCCGAACACGGTGTTCATCACCCTGCTTCCCGACTGCAGATGCTGTGTGGCCAGCTGCTTCGTGCTCCTGTCGCTCTGCCTTCCCACCATGACTTCATTGTCAGGAGTTTGGTCCCATTAATGGGAACAGTATTTGAAAGTACAAGGACCAAGAATGAGAATAACATCAAACTTATTAATTGCTGCTCTTAAGAGAGATGGCTGGAATCTAGTCTCTAGCCATCCAGTTGTATATTGGGTTAATTGTAAAAGAATTAAGATACTTTGAGAAGTATAGGATGGTGGCAATTGTTTATTTCATGTATCTTCTTATAAGATGGTTCTAGAGAAGGGAGAGAGGTAGTAACAGTAAACAAGATGGCAGGATTAACAGGTCAAAGGACCCAATATAAGACAAAGAATAAGGAGCCTCAGAGTGGCAGCTGTGTAAGACATCAATAGATGATGATAGAATGGGCCAGTATGCTCTAAAAAGCATCTCCAGGATGATAGGCTAGCTAATGGACCTGACACATTTGAAGACGTGAGAAGGAAAAAGAAAGGCGTCTAAAGAAAAAATTGTAAAGAAATAGTTACAAGTGCAGTAAAAACAAATGTGCTCATAAAAAGGAAAAGTAATCTGTCATTCTGCTCTCTATGGCTCATCTATAACTAACACTCTGAGTCATAATGTAAACACTGAATAAGATGTGATAAAAATGAGATCCATACCAGAAGGGCTAAGGGAGTATGAAGAATGTACATTTCTAGAGTATCTTTCACAGTGGGGTATCCAAAAATAGCGTAGTAACTTCATATGCCAGCTACATTTGTGTATCTGCATGTATGTGTTGATAGCAGGTGTCAGGAAATGAAGGAATAAGAAGGACATTTATGGGCTTCCACATAAACACCAAAAGAATTAATGAATGAATTAAAGTGAATTAATATTCTGCCTTGAATATTGGAGATGGGGTAGAAAGTAGGGGAATGGTTTTTCTTTTCTTAAAATGCCTTATTGAATTGTCTCTTAAAATTGATAAAAATAGGGGCTGGAGAGATGGCTCAGAGGTTAAGAGCATTGACTGCTCTTCCAGAGGTCCTGAGTTCAATTCCCAGCAACCACATGGTGTCTCACAACCATCTGTTATGAGATCTGGTGCCCTCTTCTGGTGTGCAGATATACATGGAAGCAGAATGTTGTATACATAATAAATAAATAAATAAAATCTTTAAAAAAATTGATAAAAATAATATACCTATAAATTTGTAAAATGTAAAATATAACATGAAACTTGTGAATTCATAGTACTCCTACTAATTAGAACAATCACATTTGTATTATATTCAAGGATAATTATTTTCTATAGTCTCAATAACTTTATAAGCTTGAATAAGATATACTCTAAATTTCTTTAAGATTTATTTATGTGTATATGTCTGTGTGAGGGTATGTCACGTATGTGGGTGCCTGAGGAGCTAGAAGAGGGTGTTGCTTCCCTTAGAGCTGGAGTTACAAGCTGCTGCATGTGGGTCCTGGGATATGGACTGAGGTCCTCTGGAAGAGCAGTAATCGTTCTTATCTACTGAATCTTCTTTCCTTTGTGCTTTTCCTGAAATTAGTAGGTAACAAAAGGGTTAGGATAATTCTCAGAATAAAAGTTTGCATGGAGTCACATGCTAACTATCTCCCTGTCTCCTCTTCAGAGCACAGAGCAGTCATGGAAGCCGCTTTTGTGTACGGGACCTCATATCAGTTTGCCTTGACCACAGAATTTGCCCTTTTAGAAAATATTGGGTATGTATGAAAAACCCAGGGCAATGGTTTGGCTTTTGGTTGTTGGCATATTTCATGTTGCTTAGTCAACATTTTCATCACTGTCATGCCTTGGATTTCTCTGAAGGAATCACATACACTTATAAATACATAGGGAAACCTGGGATGCCTTTATTACTCTGTTAAAAGCCACTCTTTGACATTACATAGAGACTGTGGTAGTTCAGGGTGACTAAAGGCAATGGATAAGCCATGTACTAGAGTGTCACAATGGCAACAGGAAGCATTTTAGGAATAGACCTGTAGTGATCACATAGTGGTAAAATAACAGTTTCAGAATTAGGCCCCAGAGAGTCTTTTGAAGGTTCTGTAAGTCACTTTGTCATAATAATCCTAAATGTACTTGAGGCAGTTTTTGAGCAGAATGTTTAATTTTCTTTGTCTAACTCATAACTTACAGTTCTAGGTAGAATCCCACTTTTCAGGGCTTTTCGTGGTGAGGGTCAATCTAGGCTAAAGTTTCTCCTTTTAGCACTTAAGATCACAAGAAGTAACCAATGAAATTTAACAACCAAGTGTAGCCTCAAAATCCTCTCCCAGAAAATTAATCCAAAGCAAGACAAAAATGCCGTAGCATCTTGTGGTTGTGCCAGAGTTTCTCATGTGCCCACCTGTTGACCTTTCAGGACATCATAGGCTTTTGCTTTTACTCTTCTGTAGGTGTCAGGTTAATTCCAGGACAAACAGACAGGTCCTCATTGAGTTGGGCTGGGAACTGAAGAGTGTTGGTGCTACAGTGAAGCCTCTGCGTTCCCACTGCTCACTTCTTCACAGTGGATTCTCAATGCTGTTTTCAGTCTGTTATTGAACTTCTCTTTTTTTCTGTGACATACTCTTCTAAACCTCCAGTACCCCTCCCCCTTTGGGTTTCTGTGAGTAGCAAACTAAGGGCCCCTGATTAAAGTAGCTTTCCAGCTTGATTTTACTTTGGAGTCTTTGATTGGAAGTACAGCCCAGCCCAGGATATGCTGTGCTCAGCACTTTGCTTCCAGCAGTGGTTGCAAGCAGTCCAGCATTACGCCTTGGGAAGCTGTGCACTTTCTTAGAGCCTTAGCTACATAGTGGTTGTTTTCCTTTGAAATGCACGTTTATTCTACCTTTTTATGAAGATTTTATGCCTCCCCATTCTGTGTAAGCTCTGTGATCTTCCATCTCTTTCCCTTCTCCTTCCCACTTGAGGCAGAATGAAATATTTCTTTGTTCCTCATAGCATCTCATATATTATAGTTTATAAACTTTGTTTTAGCTGTTCCCCTAATACATCTCTTTTTGCTTAAGCCCTTAAAGGATCCAAGTAGTCTTATTAGTCTTTACTGTTTAACATAGAGCTCGTTTTATTCTTGAGATTAAATTAAATTACATCATTTCTCTCTTCCATGACCTCCCTCTAAACCCTCCTAAATACCTCTTCCCACTTTCCTTCAAATTTATGACTCTTTTCACTGTTATTGCATGCATATATGTACTTGTGTGTGCATATACATTCCTAAATATAGCATGTTGAGTTCATATGAAGTTACTTGTTTGTGTTTTCAGGACTGATCACTTGGCACTGGACAACCAATTGGCATGCTCTTTCTGGGGAGGGTCACCTCTCCCACCCTGCCTTTCCTCAGTTGGCTGTAGTTGTCTGTGTAGAGTTGAGGCCTCATGGGCTTTCCTTCATCTAGTTTGACATACTCATTGGTGTCATCCTTGTTCATCTCACATTTGAGTAGTCATGATGATGAGACTTAATGTGTACAACTTCTGATGTTACTAGGAGACACAGTCTAATAGCAATCTCCCTGATCCTCTGACTCTGAATCTTTCTGCACCCTCTTCCACAATGTTCCTTGAGCCTTAAGTGCAGGAAGTTTTTTTAGATTGGTACTGGGCTCCACAACTCTGCATTTGGACTTGTTATGGTTCTTTGCCATGCTCTGTCTTGTGAAGAGAAGTTTTCTTGATGAAGGATGAAGACTGCTGTTACCTGTGGGTATAAGGGTAAATGTTATAGACTGTTGTTAGCGATTATGTTGGCTTAGAAAATTAGTAGTTGTAGATTCTTTTCCAACAACCATGATGTCGCTAGCACCGAGTAGGTTTCCAGAACCAAGTGTGGGCTCCTTGTTAAGTGGTCTTAAGTCCAATTAGGTAGCTGTTGGTTATTTCAAAGGTATGTGTGTCACTCTTAGGGTTATACTGTTATGCTGGTTGTTGATGTAATTCACAGGCATTGTAGGTAGGTAGGACTGTTGGTTGCCTCCCTCTTTGAAAGCTTGCATGGTGCCATCTGGTACTGTGAAAGCTAGTTCTCAGAGAGGAGCCATTCAGGTCCATTTCAGCTCAGGGGCCTCTGGGCACTATTTTTGAGGTAGCATAGAGCTTTAAAAATAGCTATTAAATAACTATTTATTGATATTGTTTCACTTATCACTGACTCTATGGAATCACATGGTAATCAAATTAAGAGTCAGTGACTATTCAGGCATGATATTTTAAAAATGAAGTATTGAAGTGTTTCTTAAAAAAAAGTGCTGTTTTAATTTTGGCAAAATTTAATATTCTCTTAAGTTCTCATATTAAAATCGTGCCCAAACCCAAATTATAAACTCTGCTTGCCCAGTTTTGTAATTTTCAGGTGGATAGACTCCCACAGCTATCACAAGGTTTCCATTTTAAGACAGAGTGTAGCTAGTGTTAATTCAAAACAGCTCTGGTTTTAAATTAAATGTAGAAAATTTGTATTACAAAGCTTCATTTATCATAGTTCTATATAAATATAGTTTAAATATACAGGTATATTTAAAACACCTGTGAGTTTTTTATTAAAACCTATAACCCAATCTAGATGTTAATGTATAAAAGGTTTTGAGGAGTTTGCTCAGATATTAAGGTTAATTTCCTTAAATATTTTCTATCTTATTTTGTTCAAGTTGACTTTATTTTTAAAATTAACTCTTAGATTTTTGTTAAAACAGTAATTCAATACATGAGGGTTAAACAAAAGATTATTAGTACGTCCTTTTGGATTGTAAAAGGATTACACATTGAATTTCACCAAGTGTCTCTTATTTGTTTTCAATTTGCAGCTCTGAGAATATAGACCGTGCACATCTCTACTTTTTTCATTGTAAAGTGGTCTTAGACTTGACTGAACATTGTAGAACAACACAAATGGAACAACCATTGACTACACTGAACATTCATGTATTTGTCAAGACAATGAAAGCACCTCTGTTGGTATGTGTTTCATTTTACTATACCAGATGTTGACACATGAAATTTAGTAAGTTTTGATTCACAGATAAATGTTTACATTGATGACTATATTTTAATCTCTTTTCTTTGGACACCTCACTTTCATTTCACAGCATTTGAGAGTAATTTCTTGTTAAATTAGAATATAAATTGTTTTTAAAATAGTATTTTCATTTGCTTCATCAGAATATCTAAATATAACAAAGACGTGATAATACTGTGTAATAGATGTAATGAGTGCAGATACTTGGTGAGTGTTCAGAGAGCAAGCCAATTATAGTTAAGACAACTCCTTTTTTTGTGAATGTTTTAATTATTCTTTAAAAAGTTGGTAGCTGTTGCAGCCATTGGCCTATTGTGACTCACTTTGGTTAGCATTAGTTCTCATGAGTTCTAGAGACACATTTGATGAGGGTGACCCGCATTTTCTCTGAAATGTTAAAGGCCTTTTTTGAGTATAAGAAAAGCCTTCAGTAGATTTTTCTCACATGATACATCTTTAAAAAATGGCTCGTGTGTTTTACAAATAATCTGGATAGCACCACAAAGTGTAAATTAAAAAATGCAAGTTGCCCCATCTCATCAGTCAGAAAGTGAATAATACGTGATCTCACTTTCATTATCTCTGCACATTAGGCAGATGGAGTGTGGGTGGCTCAGTGGACAGACAAAGAGTGTCACCTTGTGGTGAGAAGCACTGTATTTACATCTTACATGGACTTAACAGAAGAGGAAGAAACTGATAAGCATCTAAAGGGATTATTCTTCTTAAGAACATTTCACTGCTATCAAGTGGCACTATTCTTTAGGAAATAGTGTCTCAAGTGTTGATTTATGAAAATACTAAGAAATCAATGAGTAAGGTTTTATAACTCCAATGTTTTCATTTTAGGGAGAAGGAGATACTTGCTTTGAAAATTAACTTCATAAATTCATTTTCAACTCTGTTTCCCTGGCCTTTCTAATTTTTGTTAATACCTTTCTTTTTTGCACTGTTAAAATCCTGTTATTTCCAGTCTACTCTGTAGTCATAATTCCAGCCTTTTAAAAAGCTAGTCTTTACATTTAATAGACTAAGACTTAGCCAGTTACACTTTCAATGACTTAATCTTTTAGCTCTTTATCTTAAAAAAAAAAAAAAAACTTTTTTTTTTTCAGTTGGATCTTGGTTGCAAAGAAGTTTCTGGTTTGTTTTTGTTGTTGTTGAGACAAGGTCTCATTATGTGACCCAGGCTGGATTTGAATTCTCTATATAGCCCAAACTGGCATCCAACTCATGATTCTTCCTACTTCACTTTCCACACGCCCAGTTTAAGAAAAAAAAATTAAAGTAAGTAGCTAATAGATCTTTTTCTTTGACAAAGAATGGCAGGTATATCTTGCATCCATGGGAAAAATACCCTTTGGATTTGTTTTGATGTCTTTGAGGAACAATAGAAGGGAGGGGACAGTTTATCCCCCAGAGTTCTTCACCATTTCTCTCCAGCCTTGTTTTCTTATACAAGTTGGGTACAAAGAATTCTCTGAATTTTGGGCTAGCATGACTCATCATGCAAAGGTGCAGGTACCAAACCCAATGACTTAGTTCTACCCTGGGACCCTATATACATACACATACACACACAAAGTAAAAGTACAAACAAGTGAACACACAGGTTTTTTTTTTTTATCTACCTACCAGTAAGGGTAGGATTATAACTTATACTAAACTTAATAAAAATGTTTTTCTTCTTGCTATGTATATCTTGAAGTCATCCTTTCCTACTTTCTACTCATGAATTTCCTTTTGTTCTATACTTAAACTATGTTTAAGTAGATACTCAGGAAAGAAATTCTCTGATTTTATTTCATTTTATGGCAGGAGTTATGCAAATAAATTTGAAATGAGAAAAAAAACTCCTAATTTTGAAGACTGTAGTAAGTTGGGAATAGGTTAATCATGGCTGCGCCTGAAAACATGATATGCATAAAGTCAAGGATTAGTGTAGAATTGTCTGTGAATGTACTCTTGAACCCTTTTATAGTTGAGTGGTGCTTTCTGGAACTGTGGGGTACAAATGACTCTGTTCTGCAAAACAAATATTAAATTGCTAGAGTTCAGAGTGGTGTTTCTTTCAAAACTTTCACGAAATAATGCATAGGCATCTCCTTTTTAAATTGAATTCCTTTTATTCTCCCTGGGCTGTTAAGGAATTGATGTGGATTTTGAATCTTGGTTAGACAGTAGAAATCAGAATAACTGACAGCACAAAGCCAGGAAAGATCTGAATGCAAAACTGAAGGGACTGTGGAGGAGAGATGGAGAATGAGAATCCAAGTTTTGGCCCAGTGTTTCTGGAAGGGTGTGTAAGAGCCAAGAAGACCAGACTAGCAGCCTTCCTGCAGAGGAGGGACGTGGTAAATACAGGGAGCTGACAGTACCTTGGGAATGAGTGAAGACTGATGTCTTAATCTTTATGGGATAAGCAGATGTCAGAGTTCTGATCTGATGTGGTTACCTCTAACTTTGGATTTGGCCACATTAGTATTTGAGGTTGTTTTTTGTTCTTAATGAGTATCTTTGAGGTATTAAAACAAAGTGAGGTCAAAGCCTTTTGATAGGAAACAATCCATAAGCCACAATTGAGTGTAACAGGAATATGCTTTTTGGTGGCATGGCAAGGGGTAGGGGGGCACTGGGAGAGTACAGATTCTAACCTGTGAGACAGATCACTAGTTGATTTGAAGCACTGATTTGTAGTTTGTTCTTGTTCTGTAGCCCCAGATATGCTCAGTTTTTAGAAATAAATTAACTAATTAATTAATTAATTGAGACAAGGTCTTATAGTTTATAGCCCTATACTCTGGCTGCATGGAACTCACTTTGTAGAGTAGGCTGGCCTGAAACACACAGAAATCTGCCTTCCCCTACTGTTGGAGTACTGGTATTAAAGAGGTGTACCACCAACACACTCAGTTTCCATGGTCACTTTACACCAGTGGATCTCAACCTGTGGTGTGACTCCATTGGAGATAGGAATCTTTACACAGGGGTTGCATATGACCATTGTAAATATCAGATATTTACATTGTGATTCATAACAGTAGCAAAATTACAGTTATGAAGTAGCAACGGCAATAAGTAAATGATTGGAGTGTCACCACAACATGAGAAATTGTATTAAAGGGTTGCAGCATTAGGAAGGCTGAGAACCACTGCTTTACACTATTCTTCCTGTGTCTACACGTTAGTCACACTATGTACCTTTGAGGTGCAGTAGTCATTGGACTTAGCAAAGTAGCCTGGGCTCAGCATTTCGAATCTGAAATAACTTGGTGTGTTTACTTTAAATTTATCTGTTAGGCAAACAAAAGTAGAAAGTAAGACTCAGACTTGTGTGTGAATAGTATATGTCTTAGTTAGGGTTTCTATTGGTGTGAAGAGACACCATGGCCATGACAACTCTTAGAAAGGAAAACATTTAATTGGGGCTAACTTACAGTTTAGAAGAAGTTTAGTCCATTATCATCATGATGGGATATGGCAGTGTGCAGGCAGACATGGTGCTGGAGGAGCTAAGAGTTCTGCATCTTGATCCACAGGTATCAGGAAGTGAATCAAGTACTACACTAAGTGTAGCTTGAACATAAGAGACCTCAAAGCCTGCTCCCACAGTGACACACTTCTTCCAATAAAGCCATACCTAATCCAACAAAGGCACACTTCTTAATAGTGCCACACCCTTTGGGGCCATATCTAATCATTGCAGTGTGATAGTATTTCATTTTAATTCACATTGGTGCTTTTGTATATATGTTCATCTCTCTCTCTCTTTAAAGGCAGACAGAATTTGGATACTTAGATATATCTGGTGTGTGTGTGTGTGTGTGTGTGTGTGTGTGTGTGTGTGTGTGTGTGTATCTATGTCTTAGATGGAATCTGGTACCTGGCTATGTAGCTCAGGTTGGTGTGGGACCTGTCCTGTAGACCAGGAAAATCTTGAAACTGGGGCAGTTCTTCTTCTTCTTTTTTTTTTTTTCCCCGAGACAGGGTTTCTCTGTGGCTTTGGAGGCTGTCCTGGAACTAGCTCTTGTAGACCAGGCTGGTCTCGAACTCACCGAGATCCACCTGCCTCTGCCTCCCGAGTGCTGGGATTAAAGGCATGAGCCACCAATGCCCAGCCTGGGGCAGTTCTTTAACTCCCAGGTTGTGCGACTATAGGCATGATCCACCATATCTGGCCATAACTGTACCTGAATTTTAAACTATAAATCTTGACTATAAATTTGTATATGTTTTCAGTCTCAAATAAATTGAGATCCTAACAGAGATCCTAACTTTTACTTTACCCCAGACCTATTTTCTCTCTCTGTCTCTCTCTTTCTGTCTCTCTCTCTCTGTGTATCTCTCTCTCCCTCTCTCCCACCTTCCCTCCCTCTTTCCCTTCCTCTCTCCTTCTCTCCCTCCCTCTCTCCCTCTCTCTGAGACAAGGTTTCTCTGTGAAGCCCTGGCTGTCCTGGAACTCACTCTGTAAACCAGGCTGGCCTCAAACTAAGGAGATCTGAGTGCCTCTGACTCCCGAGTGCTGGGATTACAGGCATGTGCCACCACTGTCTGGTTCCAAGGACATTTTGGAATGCTGACAATTTTCTCTACAGTGGTCACTTACACCTGGTAGACAGAAGTAAAGCTTCTATTTCAATCCCAAGAGAGACCTTCAAGCACAATAATTTGATAAAAATGGTAAAAGTAGATATATGTTTATAGTGTTTTTTTCCCTAAGAAGTATTTTGTTTTTTGTTTATAAATTTAGATCGAAGACAGGTGAATTAAATTTTTATTTACTTCACTTCCTAGAGACTAATTTGGTAGTAGACAGTGATCTATACATTTTTAAAGATTATGTTTCATGTGTGTGTGGGGAGGTGGTGGTGGGAGCTGGGTGTATGTGCTCGCACTAGTGTGCATGTGAAGCACGCGAGAACTTGTGAAAGTCAGTTCGGTCTGTCATGTTGGGTTAATACTATACAGTGAGGATGTCTTGCCTTTTTTTCTAAATGAAGACGGAAGTAGCTGAAGATCCTCAGCAAGTTTCAACCATTCATCTACAACTAGGATTACCACTGGTTTTTATTATCAGCCAACAAGCTACATATGAAGCCGATAGAAGAACTGCAGAGTGGGTGGCATGGCGTCTTCTGGGAAAAGCAGGTGTTCTGCTCTTGTCCAGGTATCACATGTTGAGTGTTAATGATGCCTTCAGTGTAGTTTTCCTTATTTTTAATATGGCAACCTAGTCACAAAATCCCTTTAAATTGAACAGATTCTAGTATTGTCAGGGCAGCTACTGAGCTGAAGACGATATACTAGTTACTAGCTTGATTAAAATTACAGTGAAGACAGAAAATCCAGCTGGTACTCATTTATACATGAAGTTTCTCAATCTCACCAAAGTGTAATCTATTCACAACTGTTTTGAATAAGAACATATAGTTTTGTTTTAGATTGACATCGTGGGTGGCTTCTTCAGATTAGTGAATAAAAAGTTTATTTCCACTTTGTAAAAGGGACTCTGTGGACATGGACATTCCTCAGCATGCTAATGTGGCCTTCAGAAGAGCAGAGAAGGTTAGTCATTGGACACCCTAGTCTATAACACTACCTCTTTTAGTTAAAGTAATCCATGTTGACTGAAGTAATGCATGTTTATTATTGGAAAGATCTTTAAATTATCATTCTTTAAATGCATAATGCTGTTTTTATTTTCTAATGTGTCAGTCTCTTTTCCCATGTTCACACATAATTTTTTTCTGAAAACATATCTGACTCTTGCCTAACACTATATTTAGTTATTCTTGTTATGTAATGCCTGCCCTTATAACTTGTTTTGAATATCACTGATTCCTTCCTCTGACAAAATTTCTGGAAGCAAATTTGCCAAATGAAATGAAATTTGTTTTATTTAGTTATTTTTTGGAATATGGGGTCTCTACTACATAGTCCATATTGAACCTTCACTTAGAGTACTCCTGTTTCAGCCTCCTGCATGCTATGAATGCTAGGGTTACTGTGTTAGTGTGTGTGTGTGTGTGTGTGTGTGTGTGTGTGTGTGTGTAGCATTCAGGTGCTATGACATATGTGTGGAGGTCAGAGGACAACTTATAGAAGTTGGTGTTCTCCTTGTACTCTCTGGGTTCCCAGAATTGAACTCAGGTCTTAAGGGTTGGCAGCAAGAGCCTTTCTTTAGTACCTGGGAGTATAGATTAATTTTATGTTTATAGTTAGATAGGAAATTGAATTTTATGGATGAATTCTCTTAAAAGAAGTATTAGTTCTACTATTTGATAGAATGTAAAATTAACCAATTTTGATTCCTTCTATTTGCAAGAAAATTATGTATATTCATATTCCTCCTCTTTTGTCTTGATATATAGAACCTGCAATTTTTTGGTAAGAATTTTCACAGATACTAGTTGTGACAGAAAGCAAGTGAGAATTTCAATTCCTCTCTTTTGCCTCTTATCAGGAGGGCATCTGTCTTTAGCTGAAGTACACTTTAGATGCTTTTCTCTTTGCAGTAATTGTGGCATTTGTTTCCTTTTTTGTTTAATTTTAAAACTGAAGTTTAGAGTTTTGGTTTTATTTTATTTGCAAGGAAGTAAAATGTTTTGGATTAAACTGCTTTGTTATATATTATGGATCAAGCTATCATGTGACAACGAATACTAGAAGGATGTTGGGAAAGAGAAGCCCTTATAAAGTAGTGAATCCTGCCATAGCCATTGTGTAAATCAGTATGGAAGGTTCTCAGGAAACTAAAAGAATAGCCTAACATAGGCCTGGGAACCCACGAAAAGCTGCCCTCGCCAGTGAGTGTCTGTAACCACAGAGCTCTTCTAATGAGAAGGACAACAGACCCAGTGTTAAGCAAGGGTAGAAAGGGAGAACACAAAAAGTTGTCTTCTGACCTCCATGCATGTGCTGTGCCATCCCCACACCCCCATTCACAGGTATGGGCCTTGTCTTAGTTAGGGTTACTCATAATACTGTTACGAAGCACCACGACCAAAAGCAACTTGTGGAGGAAAAGATTTATTTGGCTCATACCTCCACATCAGTTCCTCACTGGAAAAAGTCAGGACAGGAACTCAAAACAGGTTAGGAATGTGGAAACAGGAGGTGATGCAGAGGCCATGGAGGGGTGCTGCTTACTGGCTTGTTCTCATGGCTAGCTCAGCCCGATCATGCCCACGCGCTCTCTCTCTCTCCTCTTTCTCTTCTCCCTCTCCTTTCCTCCCTCCCCCTTTTTTTCTCTCTGCCTCTCTGTGTTTTTGAGACAGAGTTTCTCTATGTAACCACCTTGGCTATCCTGAAACTCACTCTGTAGACTAGACTGGCCCTGAACTCACAGAGAACTGCCTGTTTCTGCCTTGCAAGTGCTGGAATTAAAGGCATGCACCACCACCACTAGGCTCAGCTTGCTTTCTTATAGAACCCATGACTACCAGCCCTGGGGTGCTACCACCCACAATGGGCTGGGCCCTCCTCCATCAGTCACTAATTAAAATGTCCTACAGCCTTGCCTACTCAAAGTTTGATCTTCTGGATGCATTTTTCTCAATTGAAGTTCCCTCCTCTTAGATGACACTATAGCTTGTGTCAAGTTGGCATAAAACTGCCCAGCACTAACATCATTCACGCACATGAACATGTACACACACACTTTATATACACACATACATAAATAGTCCATACACAAAAGGATCAAAAGAAATACAGGAGCTAGAGAGACAGCCCATTTGTGAAGAGTGCTTGTTGCTTTTGCACAGGACTGAAGTTGTGTTCTCAGAACCCACAGCCACTGGTAATTCCAGCTCCAGGGGCTCTGATACTCTGGTCTAGCCTCTATGACCACTACCTGCACTCATGTGCACATAACTCCCTACACAAACACAGTTTAATAATAAATCTTTAAAAATATCTAAAAGTGAAGCTATGTTATGATCCAGCTATACCACTCTTGGGCATCTGTCTGAAGGACTCTTAAGTCAGCAGACCACAGGGATATTGTACATCCATTCTTATTTCACTATTCACAATAACTAAAAAGTGGAGTAAATGTCTATCTGATGAATAGGTAGTGTGGGACATGTGTACAATAGACTTTTTGCAGCGGTAAACAGAAATGAAATCATGACAGTTTTAGGAAAATGGATAGAACTACTAGAAATCATTGTGTTAAGCAGACTTAGAAAGATAAATACTGCATGCTTTCTCTTGTATGCAGAATCTAGGGAGTATGTGCATGTGCATGTGTGTGCGTGTGCGTGTGCGTGTGCGTGTGCGTGTGCGTGTGCGTGTGCGTGTGCGTGTGCGTGTGCGTGTGCGTGTGCGTGTGCGTGTGCGTGTGCGTGTGCGTCAAACTACAAGAGGGACCATGAGGGGGGAGGGAGAGAACTTGAAAGGGGAGGAGGGTAAAGCGTGAAGGAATACAAGTGACAAAAGCAGCAGGGGGATACTATTTAGCAGGAGTCAGGAGACCCCCAAAGATGGTGCAAGAAAGTTGTGGGAAGGGCAGTAGGGCAGAGAGACAAATGAGCACAAAAATATGTTGACATATTTGAAAATGTCATAATGAAACCTGTCACATTGTATGCTAACTGGAAGAATTAAATAACATTTCTAGGAAGTGCCTGTGGAATTTCTGGTGTTAAATGATGTTGATTTAATAGTTTCCTATGTGGAAAATAATATGTACATTGAAGAGATACAGGAAGATGAAGATGGAGTCCAGAAAGGTCCAGATCTGGGTAAGAACTGTAAGACCACCCATTCTGCTGTCCCTGCCCCCAGTGTGGCAGTAAAATACCCAGTAGATGAATGTCTTTCCTAATGCCATCTCATCCAGGCTCTGAGGGAATCTGGTGAGGGTAACGTGGAATCACATTTGTTGTTTGGTGAGTGGATGAAAGGGTCTTTTTTTTTCAGATTTTTTTTAATTTGAATTACAAACAAGATTGAATTACATGGCAATCCCAGTTCCCTTCTCCCTCCTGTCCTCCCCTACTACCCCCGCCCCACTAAAACCTACCTATCACATACCCTTTCTTCTATTCTTCCCCTGACTCAACCTTTCTGGTCCCTCATGACCTCTGCATCCTTCCTCTTCTTCCCTTCTTATTCTCGTAGCTCGAAAGGGGCTTTCTTATGCATTTTAGCACATACCTTTACTCTCTAGGCTTCCAGCTTCCCACATTTTTGCCCCTGTCTCTCGCACAGTCAGCTCTTTTCACCCACTGGGCTGACTGCATCTTACAGAGCTACACAAAGCCATGGCATATTTCATTTTTATTGTTCCTCCTAGGAAATGAAGTTGTAATTAACATTATTGTGCTTCTAGTTGTAAATTCGTCTGGTTGTCAGCAGTATTAGTAGTGAATTTCAGTAATATTTTAATACTAATTATCAGTCACTTCTGGCTTTTATTCTCATGGCTGACATGGCTTTCTTGATTAACAATCAAGTCCTCTGTGAGGACCAGCCTCACCTTTGACTTACAAATGAAGAATATGTTTTCACAGTTATGTGACTTGCCTGAGGTCATACCAGCAGCACACTGGTGGAGCCTGGCCCAGAGCTTAAGCAACCTGACATGAGGCTTATTTGCTATCATTATCATTACTAATGTTTTTCATGATATTAATCTTACTCTGTAATTGCTTACTTACTTTTTCCTGTGCTTGGCTAAAGTACAAATCTCTGAACCAGGGATCATGTCTTATTTTTATGTCCTACTAGTGAATATTTGAATGCTCTGTGTATGCCACTGTATCATCACCAGAATGTCCAAGACGCTCCCTCCCTCCCCTTGAGGTGCATCCGTTATCATGATCAGCATCGCAATGCTGTTCTTAAATAAAAACTTAACTGCTACTAATGGCCTGCTTTCTGGTTGAGCTGAGCACTGGTCCTCTTCTGGTGTGTAGAGTGGAGTTCCTTGTGTTTCCTCCCCAGATTCCCTCTGACCTTGATCATCTGACTGAGTTCTGCTCTTTTTGCTTCCTGCTCTGCTCTGTTCTACTTGGGGCACCTGCTTCTGTCTTGGTTTAGTGAGATTCCTCTCCTCAGTGGCCGTTGCTTATTTCCAGATTTCTCTGTGGAAGTCATGTCTCCTCTTGCCTCCCTCTGTCTGCTCCAGTTTGCCTTCAGTACCTGCTGTCCTCTCCGAGCCTGTTCCTAGGTTTTTGTTTTGTTTTGTTTTCTTGGGGGGGTGGGGTGGGCAGATTCACTTTTTTCCATTTTAACCTCCTGTTGCATGTAATCTATATTGGCTGTTGGCATTGTATAACTTTGTGCATGTATGCACAAATAATTCCCTCTCTACTTTGAATCATCTCATTTACAGAGAAGTAGAAAAAGGTTTTAGGAAAGAATTAGTCACAATGGGATTTACGAGACAAGTATCTCCCAAAGGAAATAGCCAAAGTGTGAGTTAGAATGGAGAATCCTGGGTTCCATAAAAAGGCAACACTTAGAAAAAGAAAAATATGTGTATGTAGTGTATAGTACACAAGGAGGAAGACCTTTAATGGTTTTGTTATTGAGAGTATAACTTTTTGGTGCCATGGGAGGAGGGCGGCCCTCCTTAAAGGAAGTCAGTGTACGTTTAGGCTTTTAGGGTTTCCTAATCCAAAGTTCTTGGCTCGTTTTTCTACCTACAATTCACACAGTTTAGTCTAGAGTTTTCTTTTGTCAGGCAGCCTGTACAGTTCCATCTCACTAGTCATTTCCTTCTCTTAGTGCCTGTGCGTGCTCAGCACTTTTATGTCTCAGAGCATTTGCATCATATAAAGCATTCTTTGTATTCCTTGCCTGGTAGACTTTAGATCTCCTAGTCTAAATTTCCCTATCAAGATCCATCACTGTATCTTTTACCTTCAAACTGATCAGAATTTGTCTTGTATCTTTATTCGTTGATGAGTTTATTGCCCTGCTTGTCCATTGATAAGAGAAGTGCCATGTGGTCAAGGATGAGTCTTAGTAACCATTTATCCCACTGTTTATCACCATGCTTGGCACACTGTGGGCCCCAAATAAGTAAAAAGTGAAAAGTGGTAGACTCTTTTAGGATTCTAAATTAATACAGTGATTAGAAACAAAATTGTTTGTAGAATAAAATTAAATGATTGCTCCAGGAATTGACCAATTTTTGTGATTTCTGGGTCAGAAAGCGCCCCAGAATCATTAAGGTATAACCAGGCAACTGGGGACTTTTCTAAGTATCATATATACTGTTTAGACAACATGGATTCGGAAATTTGTATGAAGTACTACTTTTCCTATGATCGCTGATGGCATTTTGAGTATTTAATTATGTAATCTGTATGTAAATTAACCTCTCTTTAAACCATTTTAGCTATTCAAGATGATGAAGTGGCAGAAACTGTTTACAGAGATAGGAAGAGGCCATTACCTTTGGAGCTGACAGTGGAGTTAACACAGGAAACATTTAACTCGACAGTCACAACTTCTGACAGCTTAGTGCTCTTCTATGCTACTTGTACGTATGCTTTTTGAAAGGACACTATATTACATATGAGGACCCTTAAAGTAAGCAGGCTTTATGTTTGTTTTCTATGTAGTATACATTGTAAAATGGCATAGTTTTAATGTTTCAAGTAGACTGCACACATTGAAGCATTTGCTTTTGATTCTAAGGAATTAAATTGACTTTTTCTAGATATATAATTTACAAAATGAAGGTTAATTACTAAGCTAGAAATTTAGCTAGTTACTTTGGACAACTAGTATGATTAACTGTAACTATTTTAAATAAATTGACATCCTTATAGTAGTATAGGAAATCTGTTATCTTTAAGGAATAACCATTTCACTGTATACAGTATGAATGAAAAAGTAAGTTGCATTTGGAATCTGTATAAGTGATTGAATAATATCTAGTACTCTGTAGTATGATTGCTTGTTATTTGGAAATGCTAGTTTTGGTAATTCCCATAAATCTCTACATGTGTTTATGTGTGTGATACAAGTATGGTTGCTCCGTAGATAAGCATGTCCTAATGTCTGTTGAACTTTTTGATTTTATTGTAGGGCATGCAGTGTCCATGGCATTTCTGCAATCCTATATTGATGTGGCAATTAAATTGAAAGGTATTATCCAGGAATATTCATACTTATTTTTTTGATCCAAATATGAAACTTTTTGTAAAACTGTTTAAAGATGCAAACAAACAAACCACACATAAAATTTCAGATTATGACCCTAAAGTTAAATGAGTAAATCAAGTGAGATAGTGGTGGTATCTCTACCAGTTCTTTTATCATTCAGGAGTGTTTTAACTATCCTGAGTTTTTTTATGTTTCAATGTGAAGTTTAAAATTGTCATTTCAAGATCTGTGAAGAAGAGTGTTGGAATTTTGATGGGGAATTTGAATTTGTAGATTGTTTTTGGTAGTGTGGTCATTTTAACTATAAATCCATGGGTGTGGGAGATTTTTCTATCTTCTGATACCTTCTTCCATTTCTTTCTTCAATGTATCAAAAAAGGTCTTAATCATACAAATCTTTCATTTTCTTGGCTAGAGTTACCCCAAGATATTTTATATTATTTGAGGCTGTAGTGAAGGGTATTGTTTTTCCTGATTTCTTTCTGAGCCTGTCATTTGTCTATAGGAAGGCTACTGATTTTTGTGAGTTAATTTTATTTCCTGCTATTTTGCTGAAAGTGTTGATCATATGTAGGAATTACCTGGTGGAATTTTTAGGATCACTTAATGTATACTATTATATCATCTATAAATAAATATTCTTTGACTTCTTCCCTTCCTATTTGTATCCCTTTGGTCTCCTTTAGTTGTCTTACTGCTCTAGATCAAGTGCTATATTGCATTATATAGGTATGGAGAAAGTGGACAGGTTTGTCTTGTTCCTGATTTTAGTGGAAATCCGTTGAGTTTTTCTTTATTTAAGTTGATGTTGGCTATGGGCTTGCTGTAAGTTGCCTTTATTATGTGGAGGTATGTCCCCTATATTCCTCATCTTTCCAGGACTTTTATCATGAAGGGGTACTGAATTTTGTCACAGGCCTTTCCTGCATCTAATGTGATGACCATACAGGTGTTTGTCTTTCAGTCTGTTTATATGGTAGATTACATTTATTGATTTACATAGCTGAACCATCCCTGTGTCTGTGGGATGTGAAGCCTACTAAATCATGGTGGATGGTCTTCTTGATGTGTTCATGTATTTGTTTTGCAAGTATTTTATTGAGAAGTTTTGCATCTATGCTCATAATGGAAATTTGTCTGTAATTGTCGGTTTAGGTATTAGGGTGACTGTGTCTCCTTCAAAAGAATTGGGCAGTGTTCCTTCTGTTTCTATTTTTCAGAATAAAAATACTCAGAGGAGTATTATCATTAACTCTTCTTCAAAAGTCTCATAGAATTAAGTGCTAAAACGATTTGACTCTGGGCTTTTTGTTGTTGTTTGAGAGTCTTTTAGTGACTGCTTCTATTTCGGTAGTGGTTGTAGGTCTGTTTAAATTCCTTATCTGGTCTTGATTTAACTTTGTTAAGTGTTATGTATTGAGAAAGTTGCCAATTTCTTTTAGATTTTTCAAATTTGATTGAGTATAGGTTTTTAAAGTATGTCCTATGATTCACAGGTTTCCTCTGTGTCTGTTTTATTCTCTCTCTCTCTCTCTCTCTCTCTCTCTCTCTCTCTCTTTGGTCTTTAGTTTTTTAATTTGGATCTTCTCTTGCTGCATTTTAGTTAACTTGACTAAGGCGTTTTCAATTTTCTCAAAGAAACAACTCTTTGTTTTATTGATTCTTTGCAATTTTGTTGTTGTTGCTGTTGTTTCTATTTTTATTGATTTCAGCCCTGAGTTTAATTATTTCTTTCTGTCTACTCCTTTTGGGTGTGGTTTCTTCTTTTTGTTCCAGAGCTCTCAGTTTGCTGTTAAGTTACTAATATGAGATCTATCCAGTTTCTTTATGTAGACACTTAGTGCTATGAACTTTCCTCTTAGAATTGCCTTCATTGTGTACCATAATTTTGATATGTTGCAGTTTCATTTTCAGTCAGTTCTAGAAAGTTTTAAATATCCCCCCTAATTTCTGTCTCTTTTTTCTTGGTATAATACTTTAACAGTACAGAAATACACTCAGCACCAGGTTGTTGGATACTAATCATGGTTTCTACAATGGGCTACTGTGACCACAAAAAGAACAGAAATGGGCTGGAGAGATTATTCAGCAGTTAAGAGCATTGGCTGCTCTTGCAGAGGACTCAGGTTCAATTCCCTGCAACACAGGCAGCTCACAACCACCCATAACTCAGTTCCAGGGATCTAACACACTCTTCTGGCTGCCATGGGCACTGCACATAGCACTGCCTAGACAAACGTACACTGATACACAAAAAATAATGAGGTAGTTTTTTAAATAACTAAAACATTTTCTTAATTGTATAAATGATAATTTTAGAGAACAAAAACATTTTCTTCTGTCTCTTTTTTTATTGAGCTATATATTTTTTCCCTATTTCCCATCCCTCTTCCTCTCCCTCCTTCTACCTCCCCCTGCCCCACCTCACTTCCAATTTATTCAGGGGATCTTGTCTTTTTCCTCTTCCTAGGCTGATCTATGTATGTCTCTCTTAGGGTCCTTTTTGTTACCAAGGCTCTGGGGTTGTGACCTATAGGCTGGGGTCCTTTGCTTTATGTCCAGTATCCACTTATGAGTGAGTATATATTATATTTGTCTTTCTGGGTCTTGGTTACTTTGCTCAGGATGGCATTCTCTAGTTCTGCCCATTTGCTAACAAATTTCAAGATGACATTGTTTTTTATGGCTGAGTCATACTCCATTGTGTAAATGTACCACATTTTCCTTATCCATTCTACGGTTGAGGGGCGTCTAGGTTGTTTCCAGGTTCTGGCTGTTATGAATAATGCTGCTGTGAACATAGTTGAGGAAATGGCCTTGTTTCTGCCTAATTTCTGTCTTGACCCATTTTTTCTTCAGTAAAGTGTTGTTCAGCTTCTAAGAGTTTGCTAGCTCTCTTTTGGTTCTGTTGTTGATATCCCAGCTTTACTATGTGAATAGGAGGTTGGGTGGCTTTGCTGTTGTTGTTGTTCCAGTTTTCTTGTACTTGTTGAGACTTGCCTTGTTTCCAAGTATGTGGTCAATTTTGGAGAAAGTTCCATGAGCTGCTGAGAAGAATGTGTCTTTTAGTGTGTATTTTGATGAAATGGTCTGTAAATATCTGTTAGGTCCATTTAGCTTATGACATCAGTTAGTTTCAGTACTTCTTTGTTTAGCTTTTTGTCTGGATGACCTGTCTATCAGCAAGAGTGGGGTATTAAAGTCACCCATTGACTAGTCAGGACTAATATGTGATTTAAGGTGTAATTGTGCTTCTTTTATGAATGTGGATGCCTGTGTTTGGTGCATAGATGTTATAATGCAAAATCCTCTTGGTGGAGGAGTTTTCTTTTGATGAGTATGTAGTTTTCTTCTCTAACTCTTCTGATTAGTTTTGGGTTGAAGGTTTTTTTTTTAGATATTAAGATGGCTACACCAGCTTACTTCATAGGTCCATTTTTTGAATATCTATTTCCATTGCTTTCCCCTGGGGTGATCCTTGATGTTAAGGTTTGTTTGTTTTTTTGGATGCAATAGAAGGATGGATCCTTTTTTGGAATCCATTGCATTATTGTTTCTTTTTATTGGGGAGTTGAGACCATTGGTGTTGACAGTTACCAATGAGCATTTTTGTTGATTTCTGTTTTTTTTATTCTTGTGATGTGTATAGTCCATGTTGTGCTTCCCCTCCATCTTTTGATTTGCTGGACTGATGTTATTTACTCATTGTATTTTCCTGAGTGTGTTTAACTTTTTCAGGTGGAAGTTTTCCTTCTAGTACCTTCTGTAGGTGCTGAATTTGCAGATAGATATCTCATAAATTTGGTTTTGTCACAGAATGTCTTTTTTCCATCTATTGTGATTGAAAGTTTTGCTGGGTATAGTAGTCTAGACCGGCATCTGTAGTCTCTTAGAATTTGTAGAACATCTTTCTTTTAGAACACCTTCTGACTTTTAGAGTCTTCATTGAGAAGTCAGGTGTTCTTCTAATAGATCTGTCTTTATATGTTATTCAGCTGTTACTCACAGTTTTTAATATTCTTTCTTTGTTCTGAACATTTAATGTTTTTATTAGTATGTATCATGGGAATAACTTTTATGTTCCAGTCTCTTTTGTGTTCTATACTCTTCTTGTACCTTGGTAGTCATCTTCTTCTTTAGGTTAGGGAAATTTTCTCTGTGATTTTGTTGAAAATATTTTCTGTACCTTTAATCTGTGCTTCTCCTTTCTCTGTTCCTGTTATTTATAGATTTGGTCTTTTCATAATGTCCCAGATTTCCTGGATGTTTTGTATCTGGAGTTTTAAAAAATTACTATTTCTTTGACCAAGGTATCCTTTTCTTCTATAGGTTCTTCAGTGCTTGAGACTCTTCTATCTCTTTTATTCTGTTGATGAGACTTACTTCTGAGGTTCCTTTTCAAGTTTCTGCATTTTTCATTTCTAGATTTTCCTCAGTTTGTGTTTTCTTTATTGATTCCATTTCTACTTGCAAGTCTTGAACTGTTTCCTTCCACTGGTCTGTGTTTTCATAGATTTCTTCTATGCATTTATTCATTTCCTCTTTAAGGACTTCTAACAATTCATAAGGGAATTGTTCATAAGGGAATTCATATTGGAATCTGTGTCTTCTGCTTTAACTATATTGCAATTCTCAGAGCTGCCTTTGGTAGAGTTGCTGGGCTCTAGTGGTGACATTAGTCTTGGCTGTTATTGGGTTTTTGCTGATGTTTAGGCATCTGGGTTTGAGATATTTATAATAATAGGTCCTGATATTGGGCCTTATCTTTGTTGAGTTTGTTTTCTGTTCCTTGGTTTTTGTTGCCGCCTCTGGTTCTTAGGAGAGTGTGGATCGCTGTGAGTTGCATGGTAGGGAATGCTTCTTAGATCCTGCCAGGTGTGGCTACTGTATGTTCCAGATAGAATGTACTTTTTTTGGTATTGGGAGCTGACATTTAGGTATGGAGATGGGCTTGGGGTGGGGATGGGCATTGATGGAATCCA